CTCCTTGGAAACCCTATGGGGCAATTTTACTATGTCCTGTAGGGTCGCTATGAGTCAGAATTGACCCGACAACAGCGAGTTTTTGGTAGTTTATTTAAGACTATTGGGCAAAATTTGAAAACATTCTTTTTCATTTAAGTCTAAGAAGTATTTATCCTGGTTGTTTCTCATGTATTTGAATAAGAAAGGCATCAAGAATAACTCTGAAACCTTTGTGCTCTCCTTCAAGGCCATGTCCACCTATTGGCTCTCATGCTTTCTCTGTTCTCATCCACCCTGATCTCTGCCTTTTCTGAATTCCTGTTCCACTCCTTACCACAGAGTTAGCACTTAATTTTTAAAAGCTACATTGGTTTTCAGCAGGAATTACTGTTTGGAATACTTTTCAGTTTGCTGAAAACTATTTTTAAAAGGAAATTTGTTTTGTTTTTTGCAGGGGCTGATAATATTCGGAAATATTGGAGCCGCTACTACCAAGGATCTCAAGGGGTAATATTTGTATTAGACAGTGCCTCTTCAGAAGATGATTTAGAAACTGCTAGAAATGAACTGCACTCAGCTCTTCAGCACCCACAATTATGCACTTTACCCTTTTTAATATTGGCCAATCATCAAGACAAGCCAGCTGCTCGCTCAGTACAAGAGGTATGTCTCATTAACGTGACGACTCTCTCTGTCTACCTGTGTTTGTTGGAAGTTTGCTGCCACATTGGAATCTGGCAAGATGCATATAATTAGAGATATACTGGTTATGCTGTTTTGAATATGAAACCTTTGTTTTCTTAGAAATCAGAAAGCCTGGATCAATCTGATAGAAAATGTTGTTTTCATACATATCCCCTCCCCATAAAGATTGTTTTTTTTTTTAACTGTTTAGCAGAAGTTAGAGGATGTATGTGACTATTCGTCTCATCTATTTTGAAAGGCTATAGGCCTGGTTATTTAACATATTCTTTTAACCCGCCAACTTAGTTTGTTCTTCAGCTTTTCAAGGAATGTTTCATACATATTACCATGTATCACTTGCCCTCAAATGCCATGTTCTTGTCCCTCTCAAATTCTCACTGTTGACTAGGAGCAATGGATCCTATCCTGTAATCAGCCAGGCTGAAAATTGAAGTCTTAGCTTGCAAGTTCCGTGTCACCAATGTTTTCTAATATGAACCTACCCTTTATAGTCTTCATTTAATTTTTCTTCGATTGTATCTCTCTTATAAAAGCATGAGCCTAATACTGGGCAAATAATCAATGTCTCGGCAGAGCCTCTGATTCATGGTAGTAAAGTAATAAGATGTGAGAATAGTTTTTAAAGCTTGAATTATAGTGAATTATAACTTTTAAGTAGGATAAAATAAAAACTTTTGATGTATTCCTTTATGCCTGTAACTTTCAGGATGTGTCTCCCCTCTACCCCTCTTCCAGAAAATTATGTGTTTCCTCAAGTGACTTTGGAATAAGATGATTAATGGGAATGACATTGCTGTTTAGTCTGAAAAATGGAAGTGAAGTCAAGAAATAACATGCTCTAACTCTATACTCCCCACACTTAGTGTGTGATCCATGCAAATAGCTTTGTTCCTGTGCCTAGCTTCTCACCTGTAAAATGGGAATAATGCAATTTATTAGAAGTGTATGGGATTAATTTGGATAATTTACTTTGAAGTTTAAAGTACTACGAGGAAGAGGTACCATATATACTTTTTATTTATGCTTTAGAAAAATAGTAAAGAAGGCAAGAATCTCTTCTTAAGCAAATAGAATTTATCTTTAGATGCCTCATTCAGCATTAAGTTCTTAGTACCTTTTTCCCTTAAAGATTTTGTAAATACCTTATAAATAATATTAAGTAATTAAGATGAAAATGGCAATGAAAATCCATTCAGAGAGGTATTAATGTAACAGGTATTCAATATTGTAATTATGGTGCCTTAGCGACCTGTTCTTAAGAACTTAGGCAAATCTTTTAACTTCTCAACATCAGTTTTTCTGTCTGGAGAATGGATATAATAGTATGTAATTGTAGGTCATTATAAGTGTTTAATTAGTTTATGATTATAAAGTGCTTTGCTGAAAATGCATTGTTATTCTGGTATTCATTGTGGAAAATATGATAATACATGTAATATATATATTAAAAACATACATAGGCAATATAACATGTACATATATGTATAATATATAATACAATATATAGTATACAGTAGATATAACACAATTGACATAACTTCAAATTACTTTATTCAAGTCATATCCAATAAATGAACAGAGTTTTTTTTTTTAATTTAAGAAAATGTTTATCTGTTTTTCTTAGAAATCATACGGTTCACACTAGTGTGTTCTTTAAACCTAATACATGACTCGTGGTAACCTCAGTAAGAATTAAAGACTGTCACATTGAATAAAGGAAGCTTTAAACTATTAATTGCTTCTGAGTATGCCTTGTGTGTGTTGGCTGGCTATCTCTCATAGGAAAAGGGAAAATGTCTTTTAAAAAAAAATAGACTTTATTTTTTAGAGCAATTTTAGGTTTACAGAAATATTGTGCAGAAAGTACAGATAGTTTCCATGTCCCTTCCCTCCTGCACATCATTTCTTCTATTAACGTCTCTCCACCCCAACCCCCTTTGTGAAGGTGTGGGAAGTTATCTGTTAGTAAGGCAGAGGCTGTAAATGTACAATAGTCACAGAGATGGCTTGCAAATGAGTCTAAACTTTTATATACTGGAGCATATGCGACTTTGGCCTTCCTTTTCATTTATATGCATTGTAAACAAATTTTCCTCAAATTTTTTGTTTGTAATGAAATTTGCAAATATCAGTTTGAGGGCTGTTTAAGTGAAGCATTTTTTCCTATTATTATATAAACACACAATACAGGTGCATTTTAGACTGGTTTAATGGTAGATATGGGCAAATTTCATTACAGGTCTCATTGAAGTTTATAGAAACATAATGAAGTACACTTACTTTACATTTGGCAGAAAAAGGGAACCTTCCTATTTTTCCCATTGCTTAATGACAAAGAGATTTCTGTGTATCCTGTCTTATAATGTCTTGTTGAAATATCTTAGGAATGTTTTAAGAACTAAATGAATACCTTATTGTTAGTATAAAAATGGAGATATGAAACTGAATCTTAAACTTTTTGGATAAACAGTAACCTCAAAGTGGTTGGGGGCAGGCACAGGTAGAAGAGGAGGTAGAAGACTGAAAAGTGAGCAGTCACGTGTTACTTGAAATATGTTTAGAAGTGGTGGTCTTTTGAATATCCTTTCTTACCTTATCACAAACATATTGAATATGCCTGTATATCCTATTGCTTGTAAACATTTTTATGTATTTGCACCTGCTAATTTGTGTGCTTTATGTAGAGTTTCTAAATGTTAAAAACACTGTGTTTTGCTCTGCAAAATACCTGTGAAGTATAGGCAAAATTCAGTTCTTTCAGAATAAAAGAAAATACATTTAGGTTGCCAAAACGTTTGATGCAGTAAAGAAAAGAATGAGCCATCAAGGCTATTGATCCTTTCCCTCTCCTAATGAAATGGTTACATTCTCTGCTTAATGCATTATGCAAAAATCGTGCAATTATTTATCCTCACTAGAGTCAAACTTTAGGAATTCGTTTGTCATTTAATGAGGATATCAGGATATTGTTGACTTTAGAAGCCGATAAAATCCAGAGGAGAAAGCTGAATTATCACTGGGATTCCAAAAGAGTATGAAAATGATCAGGAAGCTGTGTATTTATCCCCCTCCTCTGCTATGAGGGTTACTGTGTTTGTGTAGAGCACTGAGTTAAGACAGGGAGACAATGGTTAAAATTGCTGTGTAACCCACAGACAGAGGGCAACATGCCCAATTATTTTGTGGCCTTTTCAGAATGCAAGTGGAGTCTTGAACATTGCACATAGTTTCCCTTTTTATACTATACTTGGTAATGACCTATCTTTAACTGAACAGAATTTTAAGATTTTACATTTCAAGAATTGATAGTGGAAACATATTTTTTTTTAATCCAATAAGTATTTAAAAAACATAGGAAAACACTGGGAAAAAGAACACCCTTTACCTACTGTCTGAAAGCCAAGCAATTCTTGCAACAGATGTATGTTATATTCACTTTGGGGAGGTATAGTTACTACAGTTTTCCAGAATTTACACACGTCAAGTATTTTTCTCGATATACCGCAAAAATCTATACTGGATTTATCAGGGAAAACTCTGGCCTAATTTAAATGATAAAGAGATAAAATGTGAAATAATAGGGCAAATACTTTAATACTTTGGTTTTTTATTTGTATCGAATTGTAATTGTATCTAATTTGTTTTACAACTCCCAGAGGAAGTTATTTAATAGATCAGGAGAATTTTATGAGAAGTTAAGTTGATATAGTAGCCAGTAAATGTAATCCTATTTTCCCTCTACACAGTTGCTTATTGTAACACTTTTACCTCCTAGCTTTTTAAAATCTTATTTTTATTTTATTGAGCATTACCATGTCTTATGACACATTTTGATAACATGACAAAAAAAGTCCATCTTTTCAGCAATCTCATCTGATTTAATATTTGTCCATATCCTCAATTCAAAGGTATTTAACTTTCTCAGAAATAGTACACCAAAAATATTGTGTTAAGTATTCATTGAATATTTTGTATTAAAGCAAATATTAATTGAAAAATCTGAAAACTATGCAACATAGACTTTTGAAGAATTATAGGGTTGAATGACTGTGTTGGTGCAATGGCTCATTAATTGTAGCACGGGAAAATCCAACTTCTTCATTAGCATGTCAGCATTAGAGTTCAAATTTGTGATCAGGCCATTTGTGAATTTTCATGCAATTATAATTCATTTTGTTATTTTGATGTGCAAAGAAGTTGGTGTTATATTTGAAAAGAATAGAATGTAAATGTGAGAAGATGATTTGCAAGTATTTTGTAATGATATAAACATTACTGGCTTTTTAAAACCATGTTTTATTTTGAGTTATAAATATTCAAATTTTTTTTGAACAGCATGTTCAATATTCAGTGTGTCATGAATACTTTATCTAGTTCTCACTTTTTAGTCTGTAGACATCTTCTGGCAAAGGGTGCTAGTGTATGTTTTTACGATATTTAACTATTACATTTAATTATATCTACTTCTTATTTGTAGATAATAATTTATAAAATGTGCTCCTTTTTTCCTCCAAAGGTTCAGAGAGTTTTGAAGAATTGAAACTTTCCACAGTGTGTGTTCCTAAAAAATAAATCTCTAGTTTAAATTTTTTACATTGTCTTTACTGCTTGACAGTGGAGCAGTTCTTTTTGGGTAGCTCTATGAAGTAGAGAATATCTTATCTGATTTTACATGACAGATCTTTTATTAGAGGACGCAAAGCAGTATTTTAATGACTTAAAACACTTAGCTTAATTGAGTATTACTTCCTGTATATGGAGAGAAGCCTGTATGTTTGTAAAATAATCACTGAAAAGTATCATATACTTTAAATCTTAGGAGTCTTCCAAATATCTTGACCTGCCTCTTGGCAGTATTTTAGAATACTGATTTGATTTCACAGAGAGCGGTGTACATACCAATTGTGTGAGCAGTTTGTAAACTCCCTTATGGGACATATTTTTAAATGGTATAAGAG